TAAACAACTAGCCTAGTACTAACATGTGACACATAAAATCAAACGACGTGAGACGTATAGTGCACCATACGTCTAGAATATCCAGATGATACTTTTTATTTACTTGGATTACATGCAAAAAATTATCATTTTAAAAATTTAATAAGTGACTGTAAATGATAATTGATTGGATCCCCTGTTTCATGCGGCGGGCAAAGTTACTAGTTCTTTATAATATTCTAATTATTTAGTAATATTATTCATCAGTAAATATATTATAAGTTAGAAAGTATAATATTGAAAGGAATTACGGTCACATTTTATGATAACTGTGTCGTTGATGCTAAAAGCATGTATTGTGTAAAACGTTGTTACGTTACTTGCTTACAAACGAAAGATAAACAAACATAAATGAAAAAAATCTTAAAATAGTTCAACAATCAGAGAAATACAAATAGTTCTCAATCAACCACAACCGATTCAAAAAAATGTGTTGTGTATCTTTGTATCCTTCCCATCTCCTCTCCATTTGAACGATATTGATTAATATTGAGGGAATATCTAGAGATAAGTTAGTTTTATTATCTGACATGGGTACCAAACACAAATGTGACGTGCTTCTAGTTTAGTTACAGAGAACCGACTGTCCACAAACTGGAGTTGATGATTGAAAGACCACATGAAAAATATGGAAGTAATATTTTTGCCTGGCCTATCCTTAACATATTATCATCTTTTCTCACTGAATTAAGCAATGCAGAACTTCTCACTTACTGTACATCGAATTTATCTGTGACCTCTGTATACAAGTCGCCTGGGGAAAATTTTAATTTTAAAATTACAACTGATACAGAGTGCCAAACTTTTCTCCTCTTTTAGCATCGATATCAAACAAAATATCAGCTCTATCTAAAAAGTATATTGGGGATGCAATTTCTCACACCCAATAAAAACCAATAATGTGCACTTTGAATGCTGGAATAAAACAACAAATAGTGTGGGTGGCGAAATTTAAAAAATCGTATATCGAATACTGTGAATCCTAAAGATTTCTACCAAACGTAATTTTGAAGAGAAAGGGTAGAAGTTACTTTTTGTAAAGCAATAGCTATACCCCATTGAAAAAAAGTTATGGGACACAAAAGAAAAATTGCGTTTTTTCTTGTTTTTATTTTGTTCTATTTTTTGAATATTCGCGAGGAACCGCAAAGTGGGCGACGCCTGGTGGTAGATTTCAAAAGCATCCACTTCGGGAAAACCTTAAAATTGTCCTTATTTTGTATACATATTAGCGACCGGTTTATATTGTAATTAACAATGACTTCGACTTCAAAAAACTATTGCAGTGTCCCTCAATGTTCATCCTACTATAATTCACAAAAAAATTCCGTACATAAGTTTCCGCTGGACGAGAATATGATTACTTTCCAAGTGTTGATTAAAATATTATTTATATTTTAATATATTTATACTTACTTTACTTTATACTAACACCTGAAACTAAATTGAGAAGAGTGAAGAAAAATGCTATTCCGTCAGCTAAATTGCCCTAACGGTCTCATGAAGTTATTAGTAGAAAACGTAAGGCGTAATTTCCAAAATATAACGTGGCCAGCTCCAAAAACTGCGTCACCCTCAACTAAAGATCTCTGCCGATCTTGCAACCATATAAATAATTAACATAATGTAAATTTTACTTCCCGTGTTTGAGACATACTGTACAAAAACAAACATTTATTTTTATTCAGGTTTGGGAGTCAATTACCTTATGTATAAACTCGAATCCCAAACAAATAAACTTTAAAGAACGTACTCCAACTTTTACTTTGGCAAAACACACGTGTAAATGTGTAAATATTAAACGTTTTATAGCTGAAGAGATCAAATGACAAAATGATTTGTTTTCCCGAAGTTATCGTCCATCTTTTTTAAATCTTCAGCGCCCCCTGTCGGAATTGGCTATCGCGAATATTTTTGAACAAAAATAAATATATTTTTAGCTTTAAAAGGTGAAATTTTGAAAGGAAATTTAATTTGGAGATGTATATAAAAAATGCATAGAATTCACCCAAATGCAACGCATCCGTTTAAACGGCAACACTTCGTGGTGTTTTCATATTTGGGGGTTCCTTGACCATATGAAATAATAAAACAACTTTAACGTTATAGTTCCTTTTAGCCCTCTTTTTTTTGGACATAATGAATAGCCTAAAATTACTTATATTACATATAAATCATAATCGGCGAACTCCTACTGGCGAAAAAATACAGGAAAATAAATACTTACCATCTTTTTATAAACTGATTATAACTGTTACTAAATTTAGTCGTAAATCATTCAATATTGTTTAATGCAATAATTAAAATATTTATTTTGATTTCTTTTGATAACCTTTTCTTGAAGCACTGCATAAAATTCCCATCTGCTGTTTTTTTAATTAAATAAGATTTATCTCGTGTCCTTGTCTTGTATTGGCCAAATATTATTTTTCAGTATCATGAAAGATGTTATAAGTGTTACCTTATAACATCTTCTCCATGATTGTGTGGTTCTCATATTGTACTTTTTAGATGAACTGATGATGCTTTCAGAATACGAAAGCGAAACGTCTTCAAAATAGATAAAGTAGCCTATCAACTTTGTCTTTTATTTCTCCACCTTGAGACCGATATAAGAACCCACCACTCGTCTGAGTGATCCTTATAATATATTGGATTGGCGGTCGTACTCCTTTTCCGATATATATATATATATATATATATATATATATATATATATATATATATATATATATATATATATATATATATATATATAAGAAATACTGGATATTAGTGACTGTCGATATAAACAAATAACACAGTTTATTAGGGTTGCAGTCAGAATCTTGGCCGGGATGTTAAAAAAAACACTCTTTTGACTTTTTGTCGAGCTTTCGGAATGGTTTTATTCCTTTTTCAAGACACTGTAAAAGACAATTATGTAAATATTTGAAAAATATCACAATTCTTCAGTGTAACTTACTAGTCGTTGAGATTATTTTTGTAAGCATTTACACTCAACATTTATACCACATGTTGAATTTTTATATTCTATAGGTAAGTTGTATAACAGTGAGTATGACACATGTCAATACCTGGAGAAGTATTATTTCTTTGTTCAAGGGCTCGATGCAATTCCCATAAATGAAAATTTTCGTCAAAATTGTGATTTTGTCTGGGTACCGTTTGGATATATTCTTGTACAGTGTCGTCATTTGGAACCCATGCAGAGGCAATTTTTCTATGGAATTCCTGCAACCATCTATCTTCTGGATCAATGGGTACTTTGTTGGCTTGTTTGCGGTTTTTAAAACAATTAACTTTTCGCCAGACATCTTTTATTGGTGTTCTTGAGTTTAGACTTTCGCAAAATTCAATCCAATTCTTCTTTTTCTTCTGTTTGAAGATTTTCTTTGCAATAGCATCTAGTCGTTTATACTCCATTAGGTTTTGTAGTGTTGGATTCTGTTTATAATTTATAAATGCATGTTTTCTATTTTCAGCTGCTAACTGACAATGATTGTTCCACCATGGTTTCGGAATATGACCGTTGTTTTTTTCTTTATTGGAAGAATGTTTTGGGATAGCGACGTTGGCTGCCTGGTTTATATTTGTTAATAATTCTTCGTAGATTAATGGTATTTTCATTGCTTCCAAAGCACTGGTATATATCACCCAATTGGCTCTGCTAAGGTTCCATATTCTATGTTTTCTACTGGAGGTGGCTTTTGCTGCGGAAAAGTTTTGTGATGACAAAATAATTGGGACATGATTGGATCCATAAGGTTCTTGTAGAGTATTCCAACGAAAATGAGAGGCAATATCTCGGGAACAAATGGTTAAGTCTACAGCAGAAGGTTTATTGGAAATAGCAAGAGTGGGGGACCCGTCGTTTAAATATTCTAAATTACAGTATTCTATAGCATCTAGAAGATCTTTACCTAATCTATCATCAACTTCACAGCCCCATGCCAAATTGTGTGCGTTAAAATCGCCTCCAATTATAAATGGTTTTGGTATATTTTCTAAAAAACTGATCCATTGCTGAATTAAAACTTTGTTCCTGGGTTCATTATATAGAGAAATTATATGTAAAGGTTTCTTGAAATGTGCAATTTTTATTGAAATACACTTATATGTAAACGAATACATATTTTGAAAATTTATTTCTTCATATATTAGGTTGGATTTCAAAAGAATGGCACAACCGCCATATCCATCAGGGCGATCAGCTCGAACACAATTAAATTCTTTAAAATTATAATATTTTCCCGGTTTAAACCAGGTTTCAGATAATAGAGCTATAGTAATGTGGTTCTGATGAAGTAAGTATTCTAAATTCTCTTTATTAGCAACTGCTGAACGACAGTTCCACTGTAAAATATTTATTTTATTTAAGTCTGCGAATTTGATGTTAGATTTTGGTTAAAATGGTTACTAATTATCTGAATTACATCAGCTTTTGAAATATTAAAATTATTATTTTGTTTAATTGAATTAACAATTGTAAGAACCGAATCTAAAATGACATTTATTACAGAAGAATTTAATTCTTCTGACCGTGAATCTGCAATGTTTAAGTTTTTTTGGTAGAATTGACTTTTAACTATTCCCTCAGGATGTTTTGGAGGGGAAACTGTAGATATTATTTCTTTTCTAGCTATATCAGTTGGGTCTGAATTATTTGGTTTCTGCCTTTTATTTGGCCTACTGGTGTTTGTGTGAGGATTAAATATAAATTTAGCAAAATTATTTCCCTGGGAGGAAGTAGAAGGTTGTGAATTTTGTGGAAAATTTGTATCATTGTTGACTGTATTGGTCCTAAGAATACTAGCATATGAATTTTTAGGCACTTGTTTATTTGCATCGTAAAATTAATGTTTGTTAACCCATCGTCTCTTTATTAACTTTTGTCGTGAGAATTCTGGGCATGCGCTTAGATTTGTGGTCAAATGTTTCCCCTTACAACTAAAACATACGTGTTCGAAATCAACTTTTGTACAATCTTTTGAATTATGCGTTTCTTGGCATCTGTTACATCTTGGCTGACTCCTACATTGATTTCCCAAGTGGCCGTATCTAAGACAGTTAAAGCATAACAAAACTTTCTGTTTATATATTTCAACTTCTTTAATAACCTTATTGATTACTATATATTTTGGTAAAGTTTGCGATTTAAAGGTCACAATACAAGACTTAGTAGGGACATATTCGACAATTTTTTCCTCATTAACATTTTTTTCTACTTTACGCGTAATTCTTTTAACATTTGCAATTTCAAATATGCAATGACTATCATACTGTTTAATTCTATTTTTAATATACTCTTCCGATAAATCTGCGTCTATATCCCTAATAACTCCTTGTCTGTGTAAAATAAATTTTGGAATATACAAATCTAAATTATTTAAACGAAATATTTCTAGAGTTTTGTTTTTAATGAGGTTATTAGCAGTTTTATAATCTTTGCATTTGACTCTAATTCTATTTCGGCCAATGGCGTCTATACTTGAAATCATATTGTCTGCTTCAGGAAAGTTAGACAAAATAATTTCACCAATCTTTAGAGGATTCAATTTACCTTTAAACTCCATAGAGCTATTCTCGATATATACATGATATGGGCCTAGATCATTACTATTAAATAAAAATGCTTGTCTTACCTGTTTTGTTACTTTTTGTTGTGTTTCATTCAGAAGGGTTGTATTTGCATTATTCATCAAATTTATTGGTGTTGGAGTACTTACAGAAAGATCCATTTCGGCATCACTTTGATTATCGAATATGTTTCCAGATATACCTGGTTTTGAGGGTTTTTTGGGGTCAGGGGGTCTCCCCCCGCTATTGACACTCATACGGTAGGTGGTTCAATAAGCGATATTGTTGTTAGCCAACGCCACAAATTTCACAATTTAAAGCACAATATTAATTGTAAATTATTGCACGTCTAATTTCTATGAACACTACTACGGAACTCTATTTAATACTGATTAAATCTCAAAAAATTTGTAAGGAACTTCAAAAAGCGTCTTTTAAGTTTGACAGTTTTTTGACGTTTTTGATATATATATATATATATATATATATATATATATATATATATATATATATATATATAATAGAGGTAGAATATAGAAAATAGAAGATAGAATAATAAAATTGTAAAACAAATGGAAAAACAAATAGATAAAAAACTTAAAGCTGCAGAGAAAAAAGTAGCAAATAAAATAAAAAATATACGGCATGACTACAAGAAAAGGATAGAAAATGAGAGAACAGAAGTAAATAGGATTATTCAAGATAATATGATAGATATAGAACAGAAAATAGAGTTGCAGAAATGTAACTTATAAGTTAAAATTAACGAAGACAGGAGAATGACAGAAGAAAAATTAGACGAAATGCAACAAAATATCCAAATAAATAGTAATCAAATAATAAATGTGGAACAGAGAATAGATGATATTTCACAAATGAGAGACATAGGGAGACCTTACTTAAATTTAACAAATGATACTGGTATTAAATTCTCTGGTAATATAAAAAAATTTGCATCCTAGAGAATACATAAATAGTATAAAACATAAATTAAGATTAGTGAATAATATTAATGATATTAAAGATTATATTAGAATGACATTAAGTGACAATGCGGCAACTTGGTTTGCCAGTGTTGAAAATGATTTGGATAATTTTCAAACATTTGAAAATAAATTTTTAAATTATTATTGGGGTGAATTAGAGCAAGCTAGATTTAGGAAAGTTCTATATTTTGGAAAGTATAATCATAATTTAAGATCAAATATGGTAGATTATGCATTAAAGCTGATAACGGTTGCAAAGTATTTATAACCACCACTTAGAGAGGATGACACAGTCTTAAATGTATCTAGACATTTTGATGCTGATGTTGTGCAAACAGTAACTGTACAAAATATTCAAACAATAGATAGTTTTATTAATTTTATTCAAAGAATACAAAGAGGTAATAAATGACAAGTAATAATGATAAAAATGATATTAGGATGAATAATAATAATAACAGAAAAAACAATAATTCAATATAATAAGAATAATAATCAACAATATAGACAATCATATAATAATAATAGATATGGTAATAATATGCAAAATTTTAATAACAATAATAATAATCAAAATAAACAAAATTTTAATAACAATACTAGTTACAATAGACAAAATGTTAATAACAATACTAATTATAATAAACAAGATTTTAACAATAGGAGAAATAAAGAACGACCTAATTACAACATACAGGTAAATCATGTACGAAGGAATAGAAGCTGCGAAGATAGTCAACGAAATAGTACAAGGCAGGAAAATATGAGTAGAAGTCATAGTAGTGAAAGACACAGGACATTAGATTCAAGTGGTCAGATACAATGCACGGGGTGAACTGCAAAAATATTTTTTATACTTATTAGCCACTTATCTTCATTAAATAAAATTATAATAAAATTAATTATTTTGTAGAAAAAAAAATAACAGAATTAAAGGTCCCTATTTTATTAATTTATAATAATTATTATACACTCACCGGCACGAAAAACGGAGCACTTGCATTTTTAAAATAAAAACTTAAAATTTGAATTTTCTTTAAACTTTTATTATTATAATAACGTAAACACAAACGAATCACAACTGTTTCAGTAGATAACAATTTAAAAATTAAAAAAAAAACGTAAGTAAATGTTATAACAAAATGACGCCCAATTAATAAAAACTTAAATCATCTGCCCGGACAAACTGATCTTAATAATGATTGTTTCCTCCACGTGCTTGAATTATTGCCTGAATTATCCTTGGCACGCCCAAAATCAAACGAGAAATGTCCTGTTGAGGAATAAATTCCCATTCCTCTAAAAGGCCATCTTGTAACTGATTTAAGGTTAAAGGGGCAGGAACACGACTTCGTGTCCTTCGCCCAAGCATGTCCCAAACATATTCGATTGGGTTTGCGTCTCGACTCAATGCTGGCCAATCCATTACAGGAATGTTTACTTCATTTAAAAACTGTTGAGTAATTCTCGCACCGTGAGGCTTGGCATTATCACGCATGAGAACAAAGTCATTTCCAACAAAACCAGCATAAGGCACAACAAAATTTTGGAGAATTTCATCAATGTACCTGGCGGCTGTTACGGAGCCCCTCGGAACGATGTGCAATTCTCTACGTGCCTCTAAAGAAATTCCAGCCCACACCATAATTGAGCCCCCTTGATAGCCTACCCTAGGATTGAAGGTACATTCTGCAAAACGCTCATGTGGTCTTCGCCATACTTTCTGACGGCCATCTGGAGATCGCAAGGTAAACCTGGACTCATCGGTAAATAAAACGTGTCTCCCATTATTTACAGTAAAGTAAGCATGGTTTCTGGCAAACTGAAGCAGCGCAACTCGATGGCGCCTGAGAAGTTGTAGGCCTGCTTCAGGTCTGTGACTGTTTAAATTTGATTCTCCAAGCCTTCGTCTAATTGTTCGTTCACTTACGTTAGTATTTCGGAAGTACTGAAGTTGATTTTGGATTTGTACAACCATGTCACGACGATCTCGTAGACTTTTTAAGAGGATAAAGCGATCATCACGGGCACTGGTTCTTCGTAGGGAGCCGGTTCCAGGTCGTCTAGTGTAAGCTTATGTTGCCAAGAAACGTGTAAAAATACGGTGCTTCTTCCGTCTTGAAGCAACGCAAAATAGCAGCCGCTGTTTCGGGATTTACGACCATAATTCCTGAGATTAAATCAACGCAATTCAACTTCAAAGTGGGTTTGACACTTGATTTGACTTGATAGTTTACTCACATCAACAAGAATAAAATAATAACAATAGAATACTAACAGCTACCTTTGCACTTTTAAAAATGATAGGATTAGTGTATTCTTTATTTCTGATTTTTTATTTATTTTTTTCGGATAAGCACTTAATTTTTATTAGAAATTACTTAAAACAGTTTGTTTCGTTTGTGTTTACGTTATTATAGTAATAAAAGTTTAAAGAGAATTTTAAGATCTTATTTTAAAAATGCAAGTGCTCCGTTTTTCATGCCGGTGAGTGTATAATTATAAAATAATATACATTTATCAATAAAATTTAAATATTTCTTACGATATAATAGTAAAATTCAATAACTTTTTAACGGAAAAATTTAGTATAATAGGTCAAAATAGCACAATTCTTATTATTTGGCTGAGCTACCCCAGAAAAAGAATAAGGGTTCTACGTGCCATAGAAGCCGAGATATTAAATATTATTCAAGCGCGCTTTAATTTAAAGTTTCAATCTAAGAAAAAAAACAAAGCTGAGACAGTTCTTACCTCCATTTTTCCGTGGCGGTATTTGACGAATATTATTATTTTAATGGGTTATAACGTTTTACTCCTTTACTGCATATGCCATATATCTTGGATCATACATTGTAGATCTTCATTTAAAATCCTTTCAATTTTTAGATATTAATATTAATAAACAATGGAATATGATTTTAAAAATTAAATGCTTATCTTAGTTTTTATTGATTGAAGAAGTTGCTTTTTTTCTAAAAAATGAGAGTGACATTTTTTTTATAAAGAGTGTCCAGTTGAGATCAGGGTTTAGGTTAGTTTTGTCCGCCAGTGCTGCCGGTAAAAATTTTACCAAGTTGGGTAATTTATACAATGATAAAAATTCTTATTCTTATGAAACGTTTTGTCCTATTCACGGGATCTTAAATTACAAATATTGAGAAGAAACATTATATTTCACGTTATGTTCGTTTCCGTCTTTATATTTTGTCTTGCTAATACGTATTTTCTATTTCTCTTCGCCAATGAAGAACGCCACTCCACATTCCGTCAGAATGCCCCTTTAGACTTTATAGCCTCTCGAATTCGGTTGGGCATTTACTCGACTAAGGATCTGAACTGTTCACAAGTAATTTCATAGCAAATCTGTTCTATTTTATGCTATACTCTTTCAATTAAATTTAGGTCAGGTCTGTTAGAAAGCCAAGAAAGGACATTTATATTGCGGTTTCCAAACCAGTTATTTGTAGCTCTGGACGTATGGCAGGCCCTTGGTCCTGCTAAAAAATAAAATTGCCCCCAGCATTCAATTTCACTATACTTTTTAATAGACTATTTTCAGGTGTTTGTTGATATTTCGCATCATTTTCGGTATCTTCAATAAAATAAAACATTCTACTCCTGAAACTGCCATAAAACTCCAAATTCTTAACATTTAGGAAATTTTACGGTCCGTTTCAGTGAAACGTCTGATGCTTAGTGCGATAACTAGTTTGCGGTAATCATCAACATATCCGTCGAATTTTTATTCTTCACTAAAAATTACTCGAACCAATCTACTACCGACCAAAAAAATTTAGATTTTGCCCAAATGAATCTGGCTTGCTTTTGTTTTGCTGTTAACAGTGGCTGTTCCTTTAACTAGAAGAAAATATGTTAAAATATATTGAACTATGAGTACTCCTTTTAGTTGTTACCTGTAATTCACCTTAATA